AGAGGGGAAGGAAACAAAAAAAACGCAGAAGGCAACAAGAGGAAGATGTAATCACTCGTTCCGGCACAACTTCAAGAATGAAGAAAAAGGGCACGGTGAAGATGACATGCAGTCTATGCAGGTTAACTGGCCACAACAGGCGTTACCATGATAGGGCAGATGCACCGATGGAGGTTTGTCTTTCTTTAACTATGAAGAGGTTTGTTGTAAAGTTGTGTAGTAGAAATCATGTTCTATAACTATGTTTCCTGATTTCAGGATTGGGTTGGAATTCAAGATGGAGCAAGTCAAGTTGAAAGTCAAAATTCAAGGGTAATTATTTCGATGTTATTAATCTGTGATTACCACTGATTTCATATTCAAGACTCTTATCCGTTTCTCTAACATAGGCCAAGCTAGCAACTCGAAGAGCAAACAAGAATTCAACAAATGAAGTGCAACAAAATCCTCCAACCGATGGATACATTTTCATGCCCACACCTGGACTTCGGGTCACGAGCGATGCACAATCTAACAACATGGGTCCTTCCAAGTAGATGTAGTTTAGGGTCTGGTTTGAAGAGGTTTTGACAGTGAACTATAATTGGCTATTGTTTAGTGCAATTTTTTGTTGGTCAGATTATGTGTTCCTTTTGCTCATTTAACCATCATGGATGAATGTACAACTTCAAGAATGGTTATATTCCAGCAGTTTTTGTTGCTGTTTTTGAATGAATGATATGGCATCCATGTGTTATTGCTGGATCTCAGTAATTTGTTTTTAATTGACAGTATCTCATCAATGTTCAGGGTGCTCATCAATGTTGTCATCACATCTGTATTGAGGCTGAGAAACAGATATTAATTTATCAAATGTTCATATATTAAATCAAAGTGTACATTACAAATCTGGTGCACTCAATCTGGTGCATTACTAATTCATTCCTACTTCTACCAAATCAGCCACAAAAGGATAATTACAACATTTGGCAATTGGTGCATTACTAATTCATTCCTGCTTCTACCATCTACCAAATCAGCCACAAAAGGATAATTACAACATTTGGCAATTGGTGCATTACTAATTCATTCCTACTTCTACCATCTACCAAATCAGCCACAAACATGAAACAAACCGAGCTGTACCATGCTTCATTCATTCCTGCAGGGCTCATTTTCATTCCTGCATCTTCATCAATCTGGTGCATTACTACTTATTCACAGCAAAACCAAGATTGCAATCTCCCTTACTCTATTTCCCTGACTGCAATATCCCTTCACCATTTTGACCTCAGAATATTCATCTCATTTTCATTACAACTTATTCATAGCAATAACAAGGACTGCAATGTTCCTTCACCATTTCGAGGATCAAAAACTTCAGTCAACAAAACGGAATTTTTCTCTGGCGTCCATGAAACGGAATTTTTCTCTGGCATTTCATCAAACACTTTTTTTTGCTAACTCCAAATCACAAAACCCCTCTGCAAATAAATCAATCAACGCACACCCAACCCAACACAAACATCAACTTCAAAATACCGTTTGTCGTCGTCCTTCCAGGAGCCGAACCGCCGGGAGCCAACCGTTTGTTAATTTTGGGAAATTGAGTGAATACTGGAGCCAACCACGAATCTTGCATTTTCGGACCTTCAAATATCTGCCCTGAAAAAT